GTGCCACTATCTCCAAAAGTAACAATTCCTCCTTCATATTTTTCAAGAGAAGTGAAGTAGGATTTGTCACCAGACATGTGACGAGAGCACCCACTATCAAGATACCACATGTGTGAGTCACGTGCTTTCAAAGCAGTGTGAACAACAAAACAAGTCAAGTCACCCTTTCTCACCCATATCTTTTTAGTCTTAGCAAAATTAGGACTGATAGTCTTGATAAATGTCTTAGCATTGTGAACACCCTTATGAATTTTGGTGTTCCGCCTAGACATATAAGGTTGTCTCCTAACCCAAAAAGTATTAGAATTTCTACGCTTTTGAGACACATTACCAAACAACTCAGAACAATAAGGACGAATATGGCCATACCTACCACAATGACGAAAAAAAAAAAAACAGGTTTTACCTCCCTTTTGTTAATCTTACCCCTGTTAGGCAGATGGAGAGAGGGATCACCCTGCTGCACCTTCAGCTTTCCCTTTGTTTGAGTCTTGATGTTATGTGATGTAGAGGCCTATCCCTTGTGAACTGTCGCATTACCATAGCCTAGCCCACTTTTGTCACAACCCATTTGTTGAGACCAAATGATGTCTTCTAGTGTCTTTGACCCTTTGTTCCACATAGCAATTGTGGCTCTAACATCTTTGAGTTGTTTATCTTTCTGACAAACCATCTCTTCCAATGCAGCTTGTGACATTTTAAGGTTTTCAATCTTCTCTTCATATGTGGCATATATTTTCAGAAGTTCATTCCTTTCGGTCTCACAAGCTAGAAGTTTTCCACATAGGTCTTGCCTTCCATTAGAGATCTTGATGACATTCTGCTTTGTTGTTACAATCTTTCCTTTTAGCTTGACATTCTCACTTTCACATGCTTTGAGTTTGCAAGTCAATTTGTCATTGATTTTGGACAAGTTTAGAGATTCATTATAAAGTTTTTCATAGGCTTGTTGTAGATCATTACCATCGATCTTATCATTATCTTCTGAGGTTTCATCATCTTCATCTTCCTTTTTCTCCTCTTTCTCCTTGACCTCATCCAGTCGAGCAACCAAGGCATGAATGTTGGTGGATGGTGGTGACAATGACTCTCCTCTTTTATGGAATTGACTCAATATGTCCCATACATCTTTGGCCTTTGTGCAGTGAGCAATCCGTTGCTGTTTTTTGTCAGAAATTGCTTCACGGATGGTAGTCAGAACTTTGTGATTGCTCGGACTGTCAGCGCTTTCAACATCCTCTTTAATGGCTTGCCAGCCCTCAAGGTCGTGAGCTCTCAGAAACATCCTCATTCTGATCTTCCAAAACAAGTAATTACTCCTATCAAAGGTAAGAGCATGGTGCAAATTCTGACCACGAGCAAACTCAACTGGCTTTGGAAATGATTGAGTGATAGTAGACCAGAATGCCATGTAGGTACTATCTCCGTCTTCACCGGATTCGGTTTCTTCAGGTTCTTGCTCTGACCCGTTTTCATCATCCCAAGTCACTATATAGACTTTCTTCTAGTTCTTTTTCGATGGACATTCAAGAGCAATATGACCAAACCCTTAACATTCGTAACACTTGACACCTTGCCCCCTCACAATCTCTTTTTTTTTTTTTTTTTTTCCCCAGTTTTTGGAGCAACTTTTGGTGGAAAAGTTTTGGATTCTTATTGCCTTTATCTTTTAAACAAGGATCCTTGAAATTAGGCTTCTTTTTCTTTAATTTTTTTTGAACTATTTGGTAAACATAGCCGTCATTTCAAACTCTAGATCAAACTCAATCTCAGGGGTCTTAGCAGTCTCATAAGTACTAGTAAAAGCCACACTATCTTTTTGTTTTTTCTTAGAATTGGTGGGCTTCATAAGTCTGCAAGTTTCCCATCAACTGATCAATCTTGAGGGTATTAACATCCTGAGCCTCCTCAATAGCTGTAACTTTTGATTGGAACCTCTCGGGTAAAGACCTCAAAATTTTTCCAACAACCTTAGTTTCAGGGATTTTTTCACTCGAGTGTGAAACAGGAATTCACGATGTCACTAAGTTTAGCATAAAAATCATCAAACGTCTTATCATTACGCATAAAAAGAGTTTCAAAAGAGAAGGTAAGACGTTGAAGTTTTGACATTTTAACAGAAGTAGTACCCTCGCGAATAGTTTCAAGAATATCCCAAGCCTCTTTTGCTACCTCACAAGTACAAATATGACGAAACTCTTCAGGTGTGACGGAGCAAAAGAGGGAGTTGAGAGCCTTACTGTTCCAACTCGAATTTTGATATTTGAATGCGTCCTATTTATCAAGAGGTTTGGAAATATCAACGCCATCAATGGTAACAACAGGTTCACTCCACCCATAGATCACACAATGCCAAACTTTTTCATTGATAGATGTTAAAAACGCTCTCATACGAGCTTTCCAATAAGAATAGTTTGTACCATCAAGTAACAGAGGTTTATGGGTTGAGTCACCTTCACAAATTGAATCCATACCACCAATCACACAAAATCACACTCCTATAGCTTTGATAAAAATAAAGAGTGACATACTCTGATACCAATTGAAAAACTTAAGTGATTTGTGATTCGGCTCAAGATTAATTGTACTAGTTTCCATACAATTAAAATTAACAATCTAAATCATCAAACACGTACGGAAGAGATTTAGATTGTTGTTTCAAAAAATAATAAATCGACACAAACTATTTTTACTTGGAAAAAACCACAATTGGAGCACCTCCAATTGCGATTAAAAAAATCATGGGCAAAATGCCACAAATCAATCCATTATGAAGGAAAGAAAGAACACAAAACAACCAAATAAATTACCCAAACACTGTCAATTTGTCTTCAACGATTTGTATTTCTTCCACCGCAATCTTCATCTCAGAATTGATTAGATTGATGTTGATTCCACAACATCCACATTGACTCAACGATGTGCACAGTTTCGAACACGTTCAAACACTCTACGCTTGAATCTCCAGATTCCACCGAAGAAGAACACTCTTGAAGATGATCACTCAAACAACCCTTTGATGTGAATTGTCAAACCATGTGAGTTTAATACTCAAGCAAACATCAAAGGAAAACTAGTAAAATTGCCCCAGGAGAAAACCCTAGAGCCCTCAAAACAAATCTGGAAGCGTTAACCCTAAAACGGACTGAAACAAATATATATAGAAAACAGGGGCCATGAAGGTTGCTTGAGTGAAGACTCCCTCACTCGAGCGAGGAACCAATTACGCGTGTATTCCTTAAGTGGCGTCACTCGAGCACACAATCTTCATTCCCAGTATATTTGTAGACATAGAAAACTTCTGGGAGCACAACTTCTTCGCTCGAGCGAGCAAGACAAAACAACCAGGAAACTTACAACTTGATAAATGATGTTTGTTCGTGGGATTGACAAAACTAAGGGACCTAACATTATATATCTAAAACAATATTATACAAATTAGTGTTATATATGATGCAAATGTATGATAATTAGTTAGAATATTTTTCAATCCGCCAATCCGCCAATAGCCTCCCAAACCGCAATTAATCAATCCGCTAACCTGCCATTTGGTTTGTAATTTTACACTAAAACCACCCGAATCGTACTACGCACACCCTTATTTAGAAGTCTTACTTCATGAGACTCTATCATTTACAAAGATATCACTTATCCAAGACTTTTCTTATTTAGATTACGATCAACTCTCTTAAGAGTTCAACCTCATCTGAACAAGTAGTCTAACATCATTTATGATTCTTGTCCTGTATCCGAACATTTCGGATTCCGATATAACTACATCACACCTCGGCAACATGATTGGCACATCGGCTAACAATCTTAACCACGTGGCCGCCCAAAAAATATGTCCCTACAAGTCACAACTTTTTTAAGTTTAAATTTATATTTGATGGGATTGAAAAAGCTTATGACATCTATAGAGAAAACAATATCAGTCATGATACATCTCTCTAAAAAAGGAACATTAAACCAGTTCTAATGAGCTAGAAATTCTATAAAAAAAAAAAAAAACCCCAACCACCGCATCATTTTTTTGGGGAGGGGAGGGGAGGGTGTAGCTCATTGGAGCTCCCTCTAAAGCTCTATATTTAGAACTCCAAAGCATTTTTGAAACAATATTGATGATTTGAATTGTTTAGTGTGAAAAGTCTTTAAAAATAATCATCAATAGAAAAATAAATAAATTGATTCAATAATCATAATATTTTATTCTACAATGTTTGTTTTTAAAAAAATGGACAAGTATATATATAAAAAAAAAATAGTAATAATTAAGATATGATGCGACATTTAGCATTTTTTGGGGGGTCTTTATTACCTATTTTAGCCTAAAAGTATCATCTCAAAAATGGATATAGTATAAATTTGAGAGTTTGTATAAGATTATTTGATATAATTTATGCTTATAACTTATTAAACAAAATAACTTCAATAAAAAATAATAATAATAATCTAAAAACTAAAAGATATATAATTTTAAATATTCTATTTTGTGATTATTAATTTTTAAATTATAATAAATTATACTAAACGAGCTCATTTTATTTTTGAACACAAAAAAGATATTCTATAGGGATATTATAATATCTGTGGACTCTAATTTTGGGATAATCACTTAATAGCCAAATTTAACTCAACCCAGAACAAAAAATTCACTACCAAAACATTCAATAAAATTCAGCCATGTGTTACAAAATAGATCAAAAATCAATTAGAGTACAATATGAAATCTCTAAAAAAAAATCAACTAGACAAAGCCACCATTCCACGCTCTCCAAGAATTGAACCTAACACACCTATGGGTAAGAGCAAGGATCCTCTAGAGTGATTTTTTCCTAAAGTTTCCTTAGAGTGCTACATTGTGTGGTTGAAATTTACTGACAAGTCACATCAATTTTTCCGATGTGACTTGCCAGTAAATCTCAACCACACAATGTAATACTCTAGGAAACTTTAGGAAAATTTCACTCTAGAGGATCCTTGGTGTATGGGTAAAGGACAACCTCCTCCACAAGGCCACCATCCCAGTGGTATACTAAACAAGCTCATTGTTATGAGGAATATCCAGCCATTGATTCATGTCACGAGTCATGACTATAGCAAATTGGAATCACTATAAATAGAAACCGCTCTGCATGCTTCATCTTTCATAACAACAAACCAAAAAAAAACACAAGCCGACACAAAATGAAGATGACTCTCTTCTCAGTTCTGTCCCTCTCTCTCCTCGTCTTTGTCTCTCTACCATCTCCATCTCTCTCCGAACCCGAAATCTGCAATTCCGAAGACAAAAAAGTCCTCCTGAAAATCAAAGCAGCCCTAAACAATCCCTACCTCTTGGCCTCATGGAACCCAGAAACTAATTGCTGTGATTGGTACTTAGTGAAGTGTGATGAAATCACCAGTCGTATCATTTCCCTCAATATCTTTGGCGGTAACATCTCCGGTCGAATCCCGCCAGCTGTCGGTGACCTCCCATACCTCCAAACCTTAATCTTCCGCAAACTTACCAACCTTACCGGTTCAATCCCTTCTGCCATTTCCAAACTCAAACACCTCAAATGGATAAGATTGAGCTGGACCAACCTCTCTGGTCCTGTTCCTTCATTCTTTACTGAGCTTAAAAACCTAACCTACCTTGACCTGTCCTTCAATGACCTCACCGGTTCAATCCCTCCCGAGCTAGCCCAACTCACCAACCTCGCTGCCATTCACTTAGACAGGAACAAGCTCACCGGAACCATACCCGAATCCTTCGGAAAGTTCACCGGATCAGTCCCAGACCTCTATCTCTCTCACAACCAACTCACCGGACCAGTACCAAAATCTTTGGGTAATTTGGACTTTACAAGACTTGATCTTTCACGTAACCAGCTTTCGGGTGATTTGTCATTCATCTTCGGATCCAACAAAACCATGCAGGTAGTTGACTTCTCCAGAAACATGTTCGAGTTTGATCTCAGCAACGTGGTTTTTCCAGCGAGTTTGATATGGTTGGATTTGAACCATAACAAAGTCTTTGGGAGTCTGCCTGCGGGTTTGACGGCGGTGGATTTACAATTCTTTAATGTTAGTTACAATAGGCTGTGTGGTCCGATTCCCACCGGTGGGAAGTTGCGGAGCTTTGATCTCACGTCGTATTTCCACAACCGGTGCTTGTGTGGCGCTCCATTGCCAGCCTGCTAGTAGCTTCACCAAGTCAAGTTTTAAATTTCAAGTTTAAAGTCAACATTGTAAGAGTGAGTCTCATATCTTGTGAGCCACATCATTTGTAAGATATCTACGTCTTATTTTGTGTTTCATCTTATGTGTCTCTACACTTATTGTTGTAATAATAACAACAATGTTAGGTATCATGAAAAATCTTTCATGAAAATAATCATGAAAGTTTTGTGACTCTTAGATTACATTTAAAATAAAATACCATACACTAATCAAAGTAATCAAAAAATCATAATATTTCATAATCATTTTCATGAAAAATTTTTCATGATCCCTATATTTTCTCTAATAATAATTTGTTTCAATAATAGTGCGAATTTACATTTTGGTTCATTCAGGTGGGACAAAAATTGTAGATGAGATGAGAGTCTTCATTATATTTAAAAATATGAAATATTTTTTTTGATGCATAAAAGAGATACTTGACTAATGATTATAGAATATAGGAGGGAAGTAGAATTATTTTAGATATTCTAATGGACTATGACATCACTGAATTTAAAATGCAAGTCTAATTTTTAAATTAGAATAGCATTATAGTACTTTTAAGAATAAAAGATAAATTTAAGCAGAATCCTACTATTTCTTTTCAGGCCTCGTTAGGGGAACAAGTTAATTTAGTAATTTTTTGACTATTTAGTTAAAATATGAGTTAAAAAAAATTAATATGTATGTAATAATTTTTTGACTTTTTACGAAAATATGTGTAAAAAGTAGAGAGGAAAGAGAATTTTTGACTTTTTAGTATGAATTATTAATTTTTTAATTTTTTTTAATAACTTTTTAACTTTTTTTAATTTGGTCTCCTTTCTTGAGAAAATATACACTGAATCTTTAAAGGAAATAAACAAAGAGTTAACATACAAAGGGCTAACAAACATAACTAGAAGAGCATCATCTAAAAATCAACACCGGCTACCAAAACCAAGGAACGCCTAGGATCTCAATCAAAAAATGCATCAAACTCCTGCAAAGGAACTAGAAATCACAAAATCGAAAACAAAACAACAAGAACAAAAATTTGATTACTGGACTAGAAATGTAACACATTTGTCATTTAGTTTTTTATTAATTTGTCTTATATTTTACTTGAATATAATCATGTCATGTGTAACTCATTATCAACTTTTACAAATATAAAATGGAGAACGATTCCTTTCCGTCCATAATCTGAATTGATTTGAACTATTGATTTTATAGAGGTATTTTGTATATTCAACAATGATTCATCCCACTAAAAACATCACCACTAATAGCACTAATGCATTAAAAAAATAAAAAAAAATTACAACTCCAAGACCAAAACATCACATCATTCATGACGGGACTTACTGCCACCTCTGTCACGACGTGTGGGTGTGGGTGAGGGTGAGGTGGTGATTGAAAATTCTCCATCACCACCCATAAAAATGTCCTTCAATTCCATTCAGATCCAATGGAAGGGATAATGATGAAAATAATGAACCCCCAATAGTGACAAGTCAGACTCCGCACATGACAACCCGTGTAAAGCTGCAAACCGACACAATTGTGGTTTGTTCGTGTCAGGTTTTCATCATAATAGCTTCTTTGACAAAATCGAAATGAGCCACTACTTTTTTTAAGTTTGTGGGGGATTGAAAAAGCTTATGGCACTAGAGAAAAAAACAATAGATTGATGATTTGAATTGTGTATTGTGTAAAGTCTTTAAGCATAATTATCAATAGAAAAATAAATAAATTGATTCAATAATTATAATATTTTATTTTATAATATTTGTCTTAAAAAAATAAATAAATATATTATTTAAAAAATAACATTTATTTTTTAGAAACAAATACAATAAAATTAAATTATTATGATTATCGGATCGATTAATTTTTTTTATTTTATAAATGATATACACGAAAGATCTTTTAAAATGAATAATTTAAATTAACATAATGAAACCCATAATGGACTTCATAATCTCTTAAATTCTCTTAAATTGAAGTGCGCACAAGGATGACCATTACTGAGGTCTAGTCTGGTGCATGTTGCCCACAAAAGCTACATTTCTCCTAATCACCGGAAGGAAAATAATATATAAATTTACTTTTTAAATTTAATGATATATAAATGAGCTGATTGATTGATAATTATAAAAGATAAGAAAGAGAGTAATTTTACATATTTTAATTAATTATTACATCATTAATGTGGGGATGTAGATTGAAAATACTCTTCTGATCCTGGGGGACGCTCGTGATCCTCAGCTAGCTACCTGAAAAGAAATGAACACTCCGGTCGGGGGTGCTGGAATTAGCACTCCGACGGATAAGTCAGTGTATACTCTCTTGATTGCTTGTATCTTAAGTTAAGCATTCTAGTTCTCACATACCTCTTTCTGGCCGACGTTCTTCTATTTATATCTATTCTTTCCTGGGCCTCGGGGTTAGACCCACTTTCAATTCGCCGTATAACTATTTATTTGGCTCATTTTGCTGCAAACTGCTTTCCACTCTGCCCCCTTAATCAACCGGCTATTTGGCCGACTAGGGCCGAATGCGATGTATATATTTGGACTCCTGGTCCAATTATTCAGCCTATTTACGTCTCTTATTATTCGGCCCCCACAATTGCCTCCAAGCACTCCACTAACGACAATTAGTTGGAGTGTTTGGTTTCGAACTCGAAAAGTCAGAGCCGAAATTCGGCGGCTGACCTCATTCCAACGCAGATGTCTGAGCACACGCCTCTTGGTTATCATTTCAACTTCCCGCCCCTTCGTACACTTCGCTGGACTGCCTTATGAATTACCTCTACAACTTCCTTTCATTCACTATCCCCTTCGTGTCACGACCCCATTTCACCCCTAGTAGAATGGTGCCGTGATGGCCAGTAATCCGAAATTACCGAAGGCCAACTTACAAGAATTCACACACAATCAGAGTATATATATGGGGCTAACATGTGCGGAAGCAATAAATTTAGATCTAATTAGTCCGTAAGAGCTGTGCATAAGTCAAATGAAGTGGCATACATCTTTACATAGCTTTACAACTTGGGTACAATAAAATGAAGTACAAAAATATATCTTGACCAAAAGGCTTCTCGAGCCATCATATACAAAACATAATGAATTACAAGCTAAGAAGCATGATCTTCAAGATGCTACAAAATGCGAGTCCAAAACAAGTTGCAAGCACATCTAGGCGTCACTGCCGTCCTGCTCATCACCTACATATATATAGAGAGGGTGAGCTTGGATACTCAGTGAATGATACAAGTAATAAAGGGTTTGCATGAATAACATCTGAGATCTTTATCAAGCGACACACATTATATCTTGCACAAAATCAAAGACAAAACAAGTTTATCTAACAAGTCTTTCAAGCTTCATCAATCAAAGTCTTTCAAGGCTTTCAAGTTTCAAGGGATGACATTAACAAAGGTTGTGCTACAAATGCTTATAGTCCCCTAGCACGTACGGACTTTCAAAGGTTGTGCTACAAATGCTTATAGTCTCCTAGCACGTACGGACTTTCAAAGGTTGTCATCAAAACAAGATAATAATTGATCTACAAAATAGGGATAATCATTCATGCTTAACAAATACTTTTCAAACAAGGCAAAGCTTTATCAAAACTTTATAACATAGCTTTATTAGAAATACCACTCACATAGTTCTTCAATGTCGGGGTCAAGCGAGAGTCCAAGTCCTACAAACACATGGCAAAGTCTATTGAATGCACTATCAAACAAGCTTTACATGAATGCAAATGATCTCAGCATTACTTCAAAACTAAGTCGAACCAAAACAAACACTGTTCCTCATCTCGGGAAAACATAATGGACACCATCCACGTCTTGGCCGAGGTCCCACACCTCCCTTGTCGAGGTGTGGTCCCGATGGCCACATTCAAGGAAACGAAGTCGGGAAAATCTGGGTTTCCCTTTCTTTGAAGAACATGAAGAATATAGATGCAAAGATCATAACCTATCATTACAAAATCTGAGATTTCATGCTATGAATTCAAAAACATGGATCTGGGCACCCATACTCGAAGGCTTTATGAAAACAAACACAAAAACATGAATCTTAATGCAACTTTCGGATCAAACAAGACTTTTTCTTCAAGAACACATGAATACTACTTTCTCTTTCTAAAACCAAACTTTAAATCAATGTATGGTTTGCAAATCAGGTTCGATCATGCAATGCAAATAGATGACCAATAAGAACAACAAGAGTAGAATAAGATTCTAACCTCAAGATGCGAATCTAACGGCTCAAGGTGTGAAGATCAAGCTTGGAAAATCTATCCCTCCTCTAAGAACTCCTTCTCCCTCTTTTATAGCTTCTCTCTCCTCAAGAACAAAGGCAGATAGCAAATGATACATTTCTAGGTTTGCTGGCTGACTTAACACTTGGCTGGGACACGTGGCAACGACTGGTTGGCTCTACTGAAAAAGGTGACCGAGTGAAAAGACAAGACCATGACAAGGTGTGTTCTACAAGCAAGATGGCATAGGCACTCTGGTAGGTAATGATCTCGGCTAATGAACAGGCATCGGCAAATAAGGGAACAATGATCTCGGCTAGGAAGGACAACACTTGACTAAGCTGTGCCACACCTTGGCCTAGACGTGCCACACCTTGGTCTAGGTCATACCACTCCAGGACAAGATCACTTAGGTGCAAAGGTAACATCTTAGCCTAGATAATACACATCTCGGCCTTGGTGATAAACACCTCGGCCTAGATAATGACATCTCGGCCAATATGCAGGGCGAAGGTGGAGGTCAAACAAAGTGGCTCCAAGATAATTCTAGACTGAAGATGACCTCGGCAAGACTCACACCAAACAAGGTACAAAACATGCAAGAAACACTTAAGCAAAACAAATCAAGGTTTGCAAAATGCAACATATCAAGACAAGATCATGTAATATATGCAAGCATGACTAGAGTAGAGTGAGGGTTGTTACACTTCGTCTCTTGTAAGTTCTCTTCCTCTCTGCTTTGAATCCTTTTTCCTGGTTTGTTTTTGGTTTAGTATACTCCTATAGACTGAAGGAAATGGCAAAACATTTGAAAGATCTCCTCTCCTCGGATTGAATTTCTGGTTTTCGACGTCATTTTTTCATTCTTGATGACGCCCGTCTGACAGACGGCACCC